TGAACCATGCCAAACTACAATGAGCAAAGAGGAACATAACAAGAACATTATGTGGCAAATCAATGCAGGTCCATGTCCCTGATAAGCCACTCAGCATGATGCGACACCAAGTACTGAACTTAGTAAAAAGCAAATATTACTGCAATTCCAGTGTAGCTGCCAGTTGAAGAAACACCACCAAATAATGCAAAATGCTACTAAACGCAGAGCTTTAAAGGATGAGGCTGGCGGTATTCTAAATGTCCTTATTTGCAACAAATCTTATTAAACTACCCGAAGCAACCAGTCACACTCTGATCCACCTTATTCCTGTTTCTCACAACTCCATTGTTCTCCACAAACTACTAAAAAGACACACTTACTAACCATGAAAACACACACACAGAGATCACAGATCTGCTGGTTTACATTCTCACTAGAGCCCAAAATGTGTCTGAGGAAACTACAGTGTACAGATGTTTTAGGAAATTACCGAGCCTTTCTTAAAATTGCCACAGCAGTTTTTATAGACTCTCATGTTCAGTAGATAGTAGAGTACCATGTGTCAGGTCAATATTGCCATATTATAATGGATCAGCTAAAACAAAGCAGATTAAATTCCTCTGCTATTTTGTCCATAACAGCCTGCTAGTGTTGTAGCACTGCTCTCCTTTACAGAGCAGTGCTCTACAGTGTGCACATTTCACTGCAAATCCAATTAGAATTTACAGTGCATGAATGTAAAAATTTATTTGGGCACACTAGTGAGACTGACTCCAAGTCCAGGCACAGTGTTGGCAGCATACATGGATTGTGTGTATCCTCTAACTTGCATCTGTTATATTAACATAAACATCATAAGATGCTGTGGAGTTGTTGATGTTGTTTAACCTTGGCTTTTCTGTCCTTCTTTAGTGGTGAATGCTCATGGTTACTGACATTTTCAAGGTTCTGCCAGTATTGTGTGCTATAGCCATAATGATCACAGTGATTTTCAAATCAGAAATTGCTATACATAGTGCAGAAAATGTCACAGGCTATTACAGTGCAGGTCAGAGTTACCTTGTCATCGGCCCTCTCCTCTTGTTGAATGTAGGCCACCAGGGAGTCAACAAGTCCTCGCATATCTCTCATCCTCTGTCTCGTGCTCTCATTCACTGAGCTCAAATTCCTAAGAGCACACACACACACACACAGAGAGACATTTAAATCCAGGCTAGGCTATCAGAACGGAATGCAGCAAAGCTTTCAAGTTTTACAAAAATGAACCATTGATCTTCCAGTGATTGTAGATGAAGCTCTCCTTAGGTCCCTTCTGTAGCACCTTCACCACTTAAAAAAGTACTTTTGTGAGCTTCCTACACTTAACATGCAATTTTTCCTCTCTTAAGTAATTCCTCAGGGATTCAGAGATGCTTTAAGGGGTGAAACCTGCAACTTCAGAAATTTCAGTTCCAGTTCTGTTTATACTGTATGAGCACGACCACTGAGATAACACCGCAAGTTTTATCCTACAAGTGCAAGAAAGCTGCATTAGGTCATGTCAGTGTAGAGAAATCATAGAGAGATCCTCTGACGTTTCATTGAGTCCCATCATCAAGTCAACATTTATCTGGTTCAATACTTTCTTAATATGGTCAGATGTACTGTGTGTGTACTGCTAATTAACAAATGTAGTGACAAATTCAAACTTTTGAATGGATGAAATCCACACATCAACATGTGGCCGGCACAGGTTACACATTGCTCTGGGTCTTCCATGGAGTCACCTGAGGCAGCCAGTGGTGTTGTAGAAAATGTCTCTCTCAGAGGGGGATAATGGGAGGCTGCTGCACAGAGGATTCAGTACTTTCTCTGTCAGCTCTGATAGAGCTTCTTTGGACAGCTTCTCCTTGAGGTTGTCTCTTGAGGACAGATTCCAAAGGACACCTGCAGCCACAGCATGTTTTTATTTTGTTGTCCAAATAATTCAAACTAGTAACATACTGTATGCATACAGTAGATAAGGATAAAGCAGTAACAACCCATTGTGTGTTTGAATTACAGACTGGTAAATATCATGCGTGGACATACAATGGCCTCATAAGCAAGGTTCAAACCAGCCTGAAACCAAGAGCATCCCCACCTGTGATGGTTTTTCGAAGCTCCTCGTCGGGTTCATTCAGGATGCTGACGAGACACATCACTCCATCGGCATCTATTAATGCCACCTTGTTGTCAGTGTTCTCATAGATGAGGTTCCGTGCGGCGCCAGTGGCATAACGCTGCACTTCTAGGTTGTCACTGGAGAAAAGGTGAACCACAGCTGGAATGCCATTCAGAGCCCGGACCTGAGGAGGAGGATCAGGAACGACACACACCATATACTGTAAAGACACATATGCAGCCACGTATACTTTTAGGACACGTGTGGCAGCAACTTGAAACAACTCCATATTCATGCTCATCTGCCTTGTCACCCCCCCATCAGCACAAAAAGGGGCATTTTGATAACCCACCACAGGGCTCACACATAAAGACAGAGAACCATTCACACTCAAAATCACAGCTACGGGCAAATTAGAGTCACCAAATGAACCTTTCTTTTCAGTCTTTGGACACCGAGCACCGCCTTTAAATGGCGTTTGCTTCCATAGTCAGCATTCTTCTAAGAAATGGATGACTGCTCCAGTGTCAACCACTGCACCACCATGCCATTCCCAAACAAAACAAAAATGGCAACACAAGCTAAACAAGCAACAGAAATTTATGCTGGCAATCCAACTGAGCAATTGCCACATTTCAATATTATATGCAAGAAACTCCACAGTTTCTCAATGAAGCCATAAAGAATTCACCATAGCATATGTTTGCTTTTGGAGAGTTGTTCATCCACTGGATAAGGGTCCTGTGCACTTCACCAAAAGCCACTCTCTCCACAGAACCTAGCCACTGTGTACATGGTGCTGATCATTGCTCCTTGTACTTGTTCTTCTTCTAAGTCTGAACCTCCATACATTTGCCTTTCTTCAACTGCCGCATTCTCCTTTAATTTTAAATTGATCCAACCAAACAATTCTCTAGCTCAACTACGCCTGCTGCCACCAATAAATGATTTAGTGTATGGGCAATAACAATAACACTTAGTTTTACATTTTTAGTAAAGCACTGTATTGATGTAACTGGGAATCAACAACTTGATTGTACTGTCTGTAGAAACCAGTCAATATTTAGTGCTGATTGCTGTCAAAAGAAATCTTTTTTGTCCCGATTGTCATGATCCTGCCCCGCTGGCTTCCGGTTCTCCCCGCTTTTACTCTGAAAGTACTTCCTGTCACCAGCTCATCCACAACCCCGGTAACTTCAGCTCATAATGCACATTGGTTTCACCTGCCACTAATCACCCACACCTGTTCACCACAGCATATAGCAGCTCCTCACACTGTGTGCCAGATTGTTCTATGCCTTGTCTACACTCTCCAGCGGTTTTCCCTGACTGCTTTCCTGGCACCGGACCCTTGCCTGCTCTACCGACCTGTGACTGACTGCCAACCTGAGATCGACACCCTGCCTGTTCAACCAACCTGTGATTCTGCCTTGCCTTCCTGCTGCCCTGCCAGAGACTTCGACCTTGAACTGTATTACGTACCACTCTTCTGCCTGATCCCCCAAGACTGTGTTTTTCTGCTAAAATCACAAAAGGACATTAAAGTCTGTGCTACTGCCTCAGCTGACTGGCTTTTTAATTGGGTTCACTCTATTTTCACGGGAGCGTCACTCACCTCCCTGACACCGATGGCTTAAGACATACACCCACTGCCTGCACTGGTTCGAATCCAGCTCAGGAACACTGTGTTTCCATCCTCCTGTCTCTCTCTACTGTGCACTCTCTTCACACACATACTGTACATGCACATCAAAACATGCTTGGAACTGCTAATGGCTATATCTATTATTAATTGATAAATACTGCCTTCCCTTCTTTCTGTCCTCTATACATTCCATATGACTTGCTCTATAGACTGTCCAGTCTCACATATAATAGAACTGACACATTTACTGCCTCTCATACCTACATGCACACACTTACGTGGCTTTGCCCTCCCTTTAACAGTATCCTCATTAAGTACATCTAACCTCTGCTTACAGACCCATTCCAGCTGCTTTGTCTGACTGTATATTTGAATGCGTTTCCTTTTGTATAACTGTGTTTTGTCACTTTATTTCACCGGTTTAAAAAAAAAAAAACATGCATATGGATACACAATTCTCTGGTTTCCTCCCACAGTCCAAAGACACACAGCCTAGGTTGATTGGTGACTCTAAACCGCCCGTAGGAGTGAATGTGAGTGTGTGTGGTTGTCTGTCTCCAAGCGCCAGCCCTGTAATAGACTGGCAAACTGTCCAGGGTGGACCCCGTCTCTCGCCCAATGTCAGATGGGATTGGCTCCTGCCCCCACGACCCTCTTCAGAATAAGTGGTATAGGTAATGGATGGATGGATGGATAAACAATGAACAATCAAATACATACATAAATAAATAAATACAGCAAATAACAGAAATATAATCAAACACAACCATGTACAAGCATGTTACCTGATTTTTTGCATCGTTGCTGTGGTAACACTGATGTTGTATGTATGCAGCTCCAAGAACTTGCAAGGCAGTATCTGATTCTGACAGATATCTGACAGCTGTAGCCATGTCCAGTCCCTGCATCCTGCATACACACACACACACACACACACACACACACACACTGAGCTTCATATTAACAGTGGCTATAATCAGCAGTGTGTGGAGAGACTGTAATCACATTAGGGCAAAACTGATTCATTCTATTAAGTACTGTATCAAATGACCATTTTGTCTATCAAAGCATAAGAAGTCTTTCGTAGATCTGACAAAGCTACAAATAAAGCTGATCCAAGCCAGTGGTGACCCAGATGTTTTAGCCAGGTCAGTGAATGAATAATATGTCTCACTCTGCCAGTGGGTCATTGCTGTGTATTGATGCTCCTTCCAAGACATCCACCCCTTTCCCGACACTCCTCAAACTGCGGAGTGATGCAGCACGGTTGAGGGTGGACTGGTACTGCCCAGTCCCCATGACATGGTTTGCCCTTGACCCATGCTTCTGCCACTGTGTTCCCCAGCCATCTCCTGTCACAGAGACCCCTCTGCCAGTTCCCAGCCAGCCCTCCTGGCCAAAGGATGAGCTCTGCTGCTGGTGGTGCTGCTGTCGGTTGGTGATACGGCTGATGGTGCGATGTGATGGGCCTTTGTAGGTGTACTGATATGGAAACTCCTCCTCCTGCCAGTAGCCTCTTTCCTGGGCCAGTACCCCACTGAGGTTGTGCCTTTGGTTGCGAGGGGGAGGCACAGCGATCCTGTAGGGGGCGTTCTCTGGAGGAAGCAGCACAGTGGGAAGAAACCCCTCCTGGTCTGCCTGGCACAGTGACTTAGAGCGTCTGCTTCTGTTGTGTGACTGGGAGGTCTGAAAGCTGCTCTGCGCCGTGCTGGCTCCTCTATGGCTCGCCTTGGAACTGGTTTCCACAGCAGAGCGAGAGGAGAAACCAGAGGAGTGAAGGGGTGCTGTGGGCACCTGCAGGGTGGGTGATGTGGGGAGATTTAAAGGGTTAGCAGACACACACTGCAGCAGACAAAGAGAAATGTCCTTTACTGATATGAAAAAGCTGCAAAAAGTTGTTATACGCAAGAAGACAGAAGTGTCTCTAGGTACTGTCTTCTTAAAACATTTATGAGAATCACTGTTTGAGGTGAGTGAAACTGTCCTAGGCAGAAAAAAGATGTTGTAAAACCTTTCACATTCAACAGCTTTTCCTTCTTTCCTTCATTAATGCCTGGTTACTGTGTGCAGCAGGAAGCTCATTGCAGCCCCTGTATTGTTAGTTAAAAGCAACAGCCAAATGTCCTGTTTATGTTTTTCTTCAGCTAGTCATTGTTCTGAACTCGGACAGCAGAGCGGGACTTCCATTGTCCTTCTCACTGACACAGAGAAACTTAGACCAGAGAGGAAACATTATTCACTCACAATATGTGTGTGTGTGTGTGTGTGTGTGTGTATACACCCAAAAACAGTGAATCCCTCATTGAGCTACATTGTAAAGCCTACATAGTAAAACACAGCGTAAAATACCGAAATAAATCACCAGCTCTTGCAGAAATATCAAAGAACTAACATACAACAGACTGTTGAGCTAAGCTGCACTAAACAGGTCCTATGCCTACAGTATTTGTTGTAATGATCTGTGCTGGTGTGTTCTGTAAAGTATTTTCTTGCATGGATTATGGTGAAATGCAGTATTGGCAGGCCGTACTCACAGCCATTATGCGGCTGGGTGTATGTATCATGGATCTGGAACTGAAACCGTGGATGTGGGCAAAGCTCGCCTCAGGAAGACTGTAGTCTAGACAAAGAGAAGAAAAAGAAAATATTAAGTGTTTTACTCATTATGCCAGTGTGTCCAAAGATTTAATATTCATGTTCAGAAAGTTACCTCATGTTATCCTGAGCTGTACTGATGACAGAGCAAAAGTCACCCAAGTTGTCAATTTATTATAATGAATGAGAGGAAAATGAATTCAGAATCAAAAACATTTGTTAATGTCATCATTGCCATGGGTCAGTGAACCTCCAGGTCCAAACTGCACCAGGTGGTGCAAACACTGCAAAGGTGATTTTTAGTACTGTAAAATGAATGTAGTAATGACTTTACCATCATTACTAAGCTCTGTTCCATCATAGATGCCTCTAAACAACTCCAAATAGTGTACTCGCACATCACATCTTCATGTTAGCACACATAACTTTAGGGATAAAAACAAAACAGGCAGGTCCCAAATGCTGAGGGGTTTACTAACCATCGCCAGCTTGGGTTAGGGTTAGAACTTACTTAAAGTTAGACAAAAGATAAACAGGTAAGACTTGTGGTTTTGATAGTGAGCACACACTGTTTGTGTTCACTCGTCAATGAGCAGCATGTGCTTTATCTGTGTAACTATGCTAGTCATCATTCCCCAGTTTACACACTATTTCTATCTATAGTGTAGAATGTGAGGAGGAACTCAGCAGCTCAGGAACAAGTGCAGCTGCTCCAATTGCATCTGTACTAAGAAACAAAGGAGGTAGAACAGCACGTTTTTTGATTTTGGAAAATATTCTGTGATTGGATTTGTCTTGTGAGAGTTATACAGAGAATAAAGAAAGAGGCAGCAGTCTAGAAGGTACATCCCAAATCTCTTATAAGCGACACTGTTTCCCTCACTTGTGTCTTTTCCTTGTGCCTTAGTCCCGCACAAGTAATACTCAACGAAAACATGAGCAAAGAGGACTCAAGGAAACACATTATTAATGACACGAGACATCCCTTCCTCAGATTCTTCATCTGAAGCATCCAATCACCAACTGATTTCTGATAAGGGGGTGTATCGGTTCATAAAAGACTCCCGCATAAAAGACTGCCCTAGGTCCTTATGTGAGAGGTCAAGACAGACACAGACCCACAGGCAGCACAGCACTGGAATCACTTCCAGCCATACAGGACCCTGAAGTTCAGCAGTGCATCACTAGAAACTACACACAAATTTACCTTTTTCAATGTGTTTTTTAAATGACACTGTGCACAAATTATGCACTAATGCCAGCAAACCAGCTGAGAAAAACCTGACCAGAAACAAGTGTTACAAGTGAATTCATACTGCAGTGGATGGATTTTATCAGTTCATAAGCCTCATATTGCTCATAGGCCTGGTGCCCTCCAGTACTACTGAAGGAAAGGCCACATGTTCTGTGTTTGCTGTCCAGCAGCATTCATCACAAGAAACAAGTTCAGAGCTCTCACTTGGAACATTATCATGAGTGATCCACAGCTGGATGTTGAAAATAACCAGAAGAAAAGCACGGCAGACTACAACAACTTGTTCTACTTTCAGCCCCATTGGGCAGCCTGGGCACTGCCTACAGAGCCTTCTATGAAAGGATGGCTGCACCAAAGGCCAAACAGCAGAAAGAGAAAATTCCATGATGACTTAGTCTCACAGAGGGACCATCAGATGGATCAGAGAAGGCCCATTTCTTTGTCACTGTGCTCCACCATGCAGCTTTCAAAAGAGTCAGTGTTGAGAGAAGTGTGAAAGGCAGACATGGCCACTGAACCACAGAGGATGTTCCCTGTCCTGCTCCCATTGTGGCCTACAATAAATAAAGATTGCACCTCAAGTCACCTATTAGTCTCAAGGGAAATTCTTCTGCCATCAATGTGCTCAAAGCAATACAGGGTAAGAGAAGTTTAAGGTACAAAACGAAAATAAAGTATATAGTATATAATGTATTAATGTAAAATATACTAAATATAAAGGGCATAAATAAATAGGGCGACAGTGCTGGTAATGAGATTAATAAATGCAGCAAGTGACGGCAGCTAATGGAAGGTGATAAACAAGGAAGAGTAAGAATACTGCACACGGTACATGTGATAATTCACTTAGTACATTAGGTTCATTGTCAGTCTGCACACAAAGAAACTTGCTGTAAGGCCAAGTATTGTTACAATGCTAAGTAGAGATGCATTCCATCCATCCATTATCTATACTGCTTATTCCTGAATAGGGTCATCGTGGGGGGCAGGAGCCAATCCCAGCTGACACTGGGCGAGAAGTGGGGTCCACCCTGGACAGGTCACCAGTCTATAACGGGCCTGACATGTAGATAAACAACCATACACACTCACACCTACGGGCAGTTTAGAGTCACCATTCAACCTAGGCTGCGTGTCTTTGGACTGTGGGACGAAGCTGGAGTACCTGGAGAGAACCCACGCAGGCATGAGAAGAACATGCTCGAACCCAGAACCTTCTTACTGTGAGGCAACAGCACTAACCGCCACGCCAATGTGCTGCCCTATCGCAGTCCATCCTGTACCTAATGACGAGTCTTTTGCTGCGTGTGCTCCAGTGCTCCACCAAGAAGAGCAGAGCAGTCACCCATGGTTGGTTAAATGTCTGCATCTTTACACCTCAAGCATTACACAGTGTGTAAACACAGCTGACTGGGTGTGTGAGAAGGGAGTAGCCCCTCCCTCCTCTAAACAGAGAGAAAATACAGTGGAAAAGCAAAGCAGGACGGCCTGTGTCAACCCTGGAGGTTATGCTTGGTGATGGTTAAGGGAAGTACGAGGTATACCACTCATTAGGTTCTGATAGTGGAAACACAGCAAATGATGGGCTTGTAATGATGGGCAATTACACTAGGGACAGTGTAGCTAATACTCCCAATATGCACTCATCTGTTTTTTCAAGAGTAATAATTACTTAAAGTATTGGATATCAAAATGAAACTCATGCGTTCAACAGAAGTCGGTCTAATGACTCCCACTAATGTCAGCACTGTGTTACCATGTCAGTTTGTTTATTTCTCAAAAACGTGTCTGCATCCCCCATGGGAGTCTGGCCCACCGTCGCACCTTACAGCACACCAGTCCAAAGAGTGTGAAACCAGGAAAATCTTTATAAGGTCAAACCCCACATTTGTCATAATTGTTTTTGTTGCCAACAAGACTCTTATAGGAATGAAAGAGATCATGTGAATACATGATCTCTTTCATTTTGTCCATTGTGCTGTCAAATGTATTAGCCTTTATTCTGATACCTGTTCCTTACCCTACCAAAGTGTTTCAGCCTTTGTTTAACAGTGGATCAGCTCAGAAATGTATTTTCAACTGATAGAAGCAACAGGGCTATACCAAAGAGACCACACTCTAGCCATATCACACCAAGATTCTGCTAGGGTGTATACACCGTGGTGTATTATCTGGAATCAGAAGAGGGATGTGCAGGACATGTGAATGAAAGAGGAAACATCAGACTGGAAGCACGATTTAGACAGCCATTACTTCTAACAGTTACACTTCTAGCATATTCTGGTACCATTCTCCTCAAATGTTCATTTTACTTAATACATTACAATCAAGACTTGTCTATTTCCTGGTCAGATCATTTCATATTCATATCCCTGCACGTAATGCAATTCTACTTTGTGTAAAATTAATACTATTTATACTAAGCATACAAACCCATGAATATTAAACCAGGTGTTTAACCACTATTCATAGATGGCCTCGTCCTTCTGAATGCCCCACAAAGATGTGCACCGTGTTCTGAGATGATTACATCATGTACACAGGGCAGTTTTTACATGAAATGTGTACTGTGACAGGGCAGAACCTCTGTATTACAGATGGGTTCAGCTGACATCATGAATAGAAATAATATACTCAAAAATTAAGAAATGCAGGTGAAGAAACCTTATATAGACTACGCACTGTAAACACTCAAATGCACATAATACTGAAACATTATAGAAGTGAGCTGATATGAACTCAGACATCCAGTGCAACAGGAAAGAGGGAGGAAATGCTGCTGGGAGGGGAGCGGGGCTACATGCCTTAACATAAGCATCACCAGATCAGAGGTCAAGGAAGATGTATGCTTACACCATTATCATAAGGAAAACGCATAGCCACCATGTTGGAACAGGGATACCACACCTCTTAATGTATGAATGCAGGTCTACCCACAAATACAATCAAAGTCAACACAACCCACTGAATTTACAACCAGCTATTTGAGTTGTTACAAATCCCAGACATGTGCTTATGATACAGAATACTTGGCTAAATTAAACTTGAGGATTTTCACATCAAAATACTTCTCCTTTTGTAAACTCTAAAACTAATATCTCTATCATGGGAGGAGGATGTGTGAAATGAATTGCCAAGTCATTTTGTATGACATCACAAAGAAAGACAAATCTGAATAGCATGTTCATTAGGGGTTTTTACAAATGCAGAAAGAGCAAAACAGTTAGGACTGCCTGCTCTTTTCTCATGTTTTGTGTGTCTCTACACGCCGCAGAGAATGTGTGTATGTCAGACAATGCTCTAAATGTGAATTTTGCATAATGTGTCCTTTAAAATGAGTGAGCAGAGTAATTTCAGCTGACTAAACTGAATGATGACCACTGACTGATAAAAAAATCAGCATGAGTCAGCATCTGTGGGTTTTCCCAACATCTAACATGCAGTTTGGACAACACATAAAGCCCACTTAAGGTCATAGGGGGTTTCCACATCTGTGACTCTTTCCTGTGTAGAGTTTGTGGCATTGTGTAATACAGCCCAGTCTGAGAGAAAAAGGGAGCACTTGGTTTGATGTAGTGGATCTCCTGCTAATCTAAACATGACAGAATGGTTGTCACATAATCAGAATCCAGAGGTGTATGAATCAAGATCCCATGCCATGAAAAATCCAGCTTATGGAGGTGCTGTTATCTGGAGTATAAGAATGTTTTTAATCAACTCCTCTCAAGGTTTTGTGACTGTGATTAGGCTAATCTTTCAAGCTGAGCAAG